AGACAATTTAAGGGAAAAACCTGCTCCCACTTTAATTAAACCCTAGAAAAAAAAGTGTACAATTTTTCTAAAGCTTTAAAACAGCAAGAAACAAACAAATTTTGCTTTGCTTCAAACGAAGGGGGGACAAAAGGGTGCAAGGGACTAGGGCCCGCGTTTTTTTTTGTTCTGGGGGGATTTACTGCAAAAGGAGCCTGTGGCGTCTGGGAAAACTAAAATTTGGGCCTTTTACTAAAAGACACGACGCCAGGGTAACCAGCAAAGGCCCCGATCTTTTGGGGTTTATTTTGAATAAATGCCCCACAAAACAAGATAAAAATAGGGGAAAGTGATCAGCTTTTCCTTTTTGGGAAACAGTGAACAATTTAAAAACAAATCTTTTGGGGAAAATAGTGAAAAACCCGGGGTGCATTTTTCCCAACCCAAAGGAAAACGTGGACATCCAAAGAACCAAATTCAGCTTCTTTTCAAGTCAACCATAATTGTCGAAGGGGTTGAGAAAACCATAGCTCCGTTAAAAGAGCAAGGTAAAGTTACAATTTTTTTGTAGGGTCGGGGGTTTTCGCAATTCTTGGGGGTCCCCAAAGGGGTTTGTAAAACCAAAACCCCTTTAAACGGCAAGTAAGGTGGGGGACTTTTGAGTCCAAACAAGTAAGTATTTCGTCCCGCCATCATCGAATAAAAATGCTGACATAAACCCCCTAGGGTAATTTTTTACTTAAAAAATTGTAAACTCTTTTACAGGCCCCCCCTGTTTATTTGGTTTTTGACAGCTTTTAAGACCTCGTCTGCAGGGGCGGGGTGTGTAACGATTTGCTGTCAAATTTTTCAGCAAAGTGTTTATTAAATTTTTAATTTTTTAAAGAACACCCGCAGGTAAGGCCAAAAAAACTCAAAAGAGTTTTTATTTGTCATTCTTGTGTTTGTCGATTTTATCATTTTCTCAACCCCTTTTCTTGTGAATGTGTTCAAACTTTAAACTTTGTTGTGTGAATGTGCTTTGCCCCTATCTTGTGTTGAGTGAATGTGTTTTTTTTTCTTTTCTTGTGTTTGTGTAATGTGTATCTCACCTTTTGTTGTGGGGAATGTGTTTTAAATTATTCTTGTGTTGGGGAATGTTTTATTGTCATTCTTGTGTTTAGTGAATTTTGTTTGTGCTTATCTTTTGTTTTTGAATGTGGGTTTGTATTTTCACCTTGTGTTGGGGTGAATGTGTTTTCTACTTAAACTTGGTTTATGAATGTATTACTGTCTTAAACTTGTGTTGCTGAATTGTTTTCTGTCCCCCATCTTGTGTTGTGTGAATGTATTACTGGCCTATCTTTTTTTGTTGAATTTTTACTGGCCTTCTTGTTTGAGTGGGAATGTTTTCTGTCCCAAACTTGGGGTTGTGTAATGTGTTTTTTGGGCATATCTTGTGTTGTGTGAAAATTTTTTAGTGTCTTTTTCTTTTGTTTTTTTGAAGTGTTGTGTCTTTAAACTTGTGTTGTGTGAATGTGTTAGGTCTTTTCTTGTGTTGTGTGAATGTGTTACTGTCCCTTTTCTTGTGTTGAGTGAATTTTTTAGTGTCTTATCCTTTTGTTGTTTTAATTGTATGTCTTATCTTTTGTTGTGTGAATGTGGGTTTGTGTCTTATCCCTTTTTTGTGTTTAATTGTTTTTGTCTTATCTTGTGTTGTGTAATTGTTTTTTGGGTTTTTATCTTGGGGTTGTGTGAAATTTTAAATGTCTTAAACTTGTTTTTTGGGGAATGTGTTAAATGTCTTAAACTTGTGTTGTGTTTAAAGTGTTAAATGGCTTTTCTTTTGTTATGAATGGTTTGTGTCTTATCTTGTGTTGTTGAATGTGTTAGTGTCTTTCCCGTTTGTGTGAATGTGTTAGTGTCTTATCTTGTGTTTGGGTGAATTTTGTTAGTGTCTTAACTTGTGTTTTTGAATTTTAAAGTCTTATCTTTGTTGAGTGAATGTGTTTTGTGTCTTAAACTTTTGTTTTTGAATGGGTTACGTCTATCTTTTGTTAGTTAATGTGTTTGTGTCTTTCTTTTGTTGTGTGAATGGTTACTGTCTTTAATTTGTGTTTGTGAAAGTGTTACTGTCTTTTTTTGTGTTGTGTGAAGGTTAGTGTCTTTTCTTGTGTTGAGTGAATGTGTTTTTTCTGTTTTTTTTTGTTTTTGTTGAAAAGTGTTTTGTATCTCACCTTTTTTGTGTGAATGTGTTCCTGTCCCTTTTCTTTTTTGTGTGGAATGGTTAGTGGGCTATCTTTTTTGTGTGAAAAAAGTTAGTGTCCCCTTTTCTTGGTTTTCGTGAATTTTGTTTTTGGGCATAACTTTGTTGGGTGAATGTGTTAGTGGGCTTATCTTGTGTTTTTTTGTGAAAAGTGTTTGTGTCATATCTTGTGTTGTGTAATGTTTAGTGTCTTATCTTTTGTTTTCCCTGAATGTGTTAGTGTCATATCTTTTGTTGTGTGAATGTGTTAGTGTCTTTTTTCTTTTTTTGCGTGAAATTTTAGTGCATATCTTTGTTGTGTGAAGGGTTAGTTCTTATTTTGTTGTTTTGAAAGTGTTTTGTGTCTTATCTTGTGTTGTGTGAATGTGAAATGTCTTATCTTGTGTTGTGGAATGTGTTAGGTCTTATCTTGTTTTTTGTGAAAGGTTAGTGTCATATCTTGGTTTTGTGAATGTTTATTTTCTTATCTTGTGTTGCGTGAATGTTTTATGCATAAACTTGTGTTTTGTGAATGTGGTTTTTCCGGCCTTTTCTTTTTTTGTGGGGAAAGGTTTTTTGTCTTTTCTTGTGTTTTTTGAATGTTGGGTTTGTGTCTTTTTCTTTTGTTTTGTAAAAAGGGGTTATTGTCATATCTTGTTTGTGTGAAATTTTTAGTGTCTTAAACTTGGGGTTTGTGAATGTTTTTAGTATCTTATCTTTTGTTGTTTTGAATGTGTTATTTTCTTATCTTGTTTTGTTTGAAAAGTAATTACGTCCCATCTTGTGTTGGGTGAATTATTACTGTCCCCATCCCTTTTGTTTTGTGAATTGTTATGTCATATCTTTTGGGGTTTTAGTGAATGTGTTAGTGTTTGTCTTTTTTGTGTGAATGTGTTTTTGTATCTCACCCCTTTTGTTTTTGTGAATGTGTTGTGTCTTTCCTTTTTTGTGTTTAATGTGTTAGTATCCACCTTGTTTGTGTGAATGTTTATGTCTTATTTTTGGTTGAGGAATTATTTTGGGGCATATCTTTTTTGTTTGAAGTGTTTTGTGTCCCTTTCTTTGTTTTAAAAAATTTTCATTTTTTGCTGAAAGTTTTAGTTTAACTTTTTTGTAATTGAAAAACAATCCGGTTCAATTTTTTTCAATCCTTTTTAATTTTTATTTCTTTTGGTTTAAAAGGGGGTTTACAGGTTTTTGGAAATTTTGTGTTTTATATTGTTTTGAATTTTAGGGCCCCAAAAAAGTGTTTTGGAAAATTTGGGTCAACTTTGGTTTTAAAAAGTTTAAAATTAAATTATTGCAGATTAAGGAGTAAGTTGGTATTAACCTGGAGTTTACCTGGAGAGAGTTCCGGGGGTCAACGCCCCCGCGGGCCGGTCTGTGACCAGGTCTCCTGGTGGATCAGAGCCTGATCAATCAGGCTGTTACTGCTGGCTGCACGCAAACCAACGTACGAGCCACAGCCCGGCTGGTCAGGAACCGATTTTAGGTGGTTGTCCAGTGCCAGCTTGAAGACTGCCAGGGGTCTGTTGGTAATCCCCTTTATGTATGCTGGGAGGCAGTTGAACAGTCTCGGGCTAAGTGACTACTTTATCTTTTTTTTTAATTTAGCAATGTGAATGCTTTGTTTTGGCACAATACATAGTTTCTATATTGGAGTATCACAGGCAAACTTATGACTAGTTAGGGTTCATTATTTTCAGATTAAGATTCGTTTTTCTGTGTTTATAGTCAAATGGGTGAGTGAGTGAGTGTAAGTGTGAACCACCAGGTGGTGTTCGTGTAGTTAGTTGATGGGGTGTATCAGGGAGATAAGATGTTTTCTAATGGTAGTTTTGAAGGTGATGAATGTGTCTGCAGTTCTAGAGTTTTCAGGTAGGGTGCTCCAGATTTTAGGTCCTTTGACATACATTGAATTTTTGTAAAGGTTTAGTCGGACACGGAGAATGTCATAGAGATGTTTGTGTCTGGTGTTGTGCCTGTGGGTCCTGTCACAACTATTAAGAAAGCGTTTTAGGTCAAGGTTAATATTGGAATTTAAGGTCCTGTAGATGTAGATTGCACAGTAGTTAGTGTGGATGTTCTGAACAGGGAGTAAGTTTAGATCTATGAAGAGTGGGGGGGGAGGGTGTTGCCAGGGATGGGATTTAGTGCTTATTCTTACTGTGGCTTTTTGTTGGGTTATTATTGGTTTTAGGTGTGTTGTTGCAGTTGATCCCCAAGCACATAAACTGTGACGTTACAAGCGAATGAATATTCATTCCTCTCATGTTTATAATTATATAAAGTTATGTATGTATATAGTCGAGTCACTGGAGGTGCATATAGTTTAATTTGTGAGGGTCTGAGATGTATTTATATTGTTTATCAATAATACTGTCATGTTATGTTTGTACTACGTATGTATTATGTGTATAAAATTATAAATAAGGTATATAAAATGTAATTTTATGTTTTTATAACATCTGTCTACCACTGTAAAAAGTCTATGTTATGTACTCAAAGCTAAAACACAGCTGACGAGCAGACTTAATTCTGAAATGCTGGTCAGTTTTACTTAAAGAAAAATTTTGATTAATTTTTGCCAATTTGCCTTTTTCATGGACGAAATTGACCAAGGGTGAAATACTAATTTCCATGTGATAATTTGTGAGTGTCTTCAAGCTTAAGTAGCTGGTGTATCTTAAGATACTAGTCTTCTTGAGAGAAAAGAATGCCTCTTCACTTTAGCTTGAAAGCTGATGTAATACATTGCAATCCTCTTCCTTACTTTAATGCTTTGTTTTAATTGCAGGAATTAGTGGAGGTGTGTGTTGTGGTGAAGACTATGTTACCTGTGGAGGTGAGAACAGCAGTGGTCCAGGAGGTGGTGGAGATCCAGCCAGTCCAGGCACCTCTCATCCTCGTCAGAATGCTGCTACTACACCTGCTGGTGGATGTCAACCACCTGGCTGTGGTGGGTGACCTCGCCACGGGGTCGTGGCTGTATCTTGGTCAAGATTACTGCAACCTATTACTAGAACACCTGGGTACAACATGTAGGTTCAGCCTGCAGAGTCTGCACCTACAAGGGGTCAGTCTGACACCTGGTGTGTTAGCTGAGATCATCCATCGCTCGCCTCACTTGACATCCATCCATGTTGGTGGAGATGACGCAGCTAGTGAAGTGTTGGCTTATATCAAGAAGAATCCCAGAGGGCTTCACTCCCTGCATCTTGACTGTTGTAACGTCACAGATCTGGATGTTGTACATGCTTTAGTCAAGAGTTACAAGGACGTCAACTCCTGGTTGGACATCAATGCCAGCGATGATGTACTGGACATTTCTTCTCCGCCTCTCTGTCACCTGATCATAAACTCACCTTTGGTTACTCTCTGCGGCGCTGTGGTGCTGTTACACTCCCTACGGAACCTGAGAAGCTTGCAGTACAGTTACTGGAACTCTTCTCTGTGTAACCTGTTCATGTACCTTAAACAACAGTCTCCTAACTCTGCGCCATTCAGTCTGACATCAGTGTCTCTGTGGCGGGCAACAGATAGAGCTCTTCAGACACTCAGCTTGTGTCCACGACTTCAACACCTAATGATGGAGTACACAGACCCTTCCCTCGTGTCAATGTCTGCCCTCAGTCACCTGACACACCTCGTCTCCCTCACATTCAGATTGGTACCTGAGACACTCATACTGTCTGCTGTACACGCTGTTGGCAAGAGACTCCTTCTGCTAGAAATAGAGTTTGAAAAATACACTCGGACACCCATCTCGTGGAACACTGTCAGTGTTATACACAACCAGTGTCCACACTTGCAGAGGCTTGAACTACACTACGTGATTATCATCCAGACTCCAAATACATTCTTCCATTCATCCACACGTCCCAGATCATCATTTAGTGAGCTGGTCCACTTGAACCTGACAGGCGTAGTGATACAACCACCAGACTTGGCTCACTTGCTGTGTAACAACACTACCCTACACACACTACTTCTCGACATTAACCAAGAGGCTCTCACGGACGCAGTTCTCACCACACTACTCCTCAACAACCAACTACATAACCTAAACTACATTTATTTAAACTCTGGCTTATTGACTATCAAGGGTGTCACTGCCTTACTGACACTACCAGCCTTGATGAGACTTGCCCTATACTCACCTGGCTTCCCTAATATTGCTTTCTCTACTTTCTGCAAACTTCAACTGCAACTTCTCAAAGGTAACTATCAGTGTACGTTAGAGAGTGTGCACAAAGACGAGTGAACCTTAACTCACTACTTAAACCATTGTCTTACTCAATACAATTATTACTTTAATTATTAATTTTCTTACATTCTGGCAGAATAACTCAAGGTGGACAACACATTCCCCTTAATACAGTGAACTGCTGTCTTATCAGAAGAATGCTAACATCACAACTCAGATTACCGTCCGATTACGGAGTGCAGGTACTGCACATGCCCACCCTTCCTTCAGAGTGCAGGTACTGCACATACCCACCCTTCCTTCAGAGTGCAGATACTGTATATGCCCACCCCTCCTTCAGAGTGCAGGTACTGCACATGCCCACCCCTCCTTCAGAGTGCAGGTACTGCTCATGCCCACCCCTCCTTCAGAGTGCAGGTACTGCACATGCCCACCCCTCCTTCAGAGTGCAGGTACTGCTCATGCCTACCCCTCCTTCAGAGTGTAGGTACTGCTCATGCCCACCCCTCCTTCAGAGTGTAGGTACTGCTCATGCCCACCCCTCCTTCAGAGTGCAGGTACTGCTCATGCCTACCCCTCCTTCAGAGTGTAGGTACCGCTCATGCCCACCCCTCCTTCAGAGTGCAGGTACTGCTCATGCCCACCCCTCCTTCAGAGTGCAGGTACTGCACATGCCCACCCCTCCTTCAGACTGCAGTTACTGCACATACCCACCCTTCCTTCAGAGTGCAGGTACTGCACATGCCCACCCCTCCTTCAGAGTGCAGGTACTGCACATGCCCACCCCTCCTTCAGAGTGCAGGTACTGCTCATGCCTACCCCTCCTTCAGAGTGCAGGTACTGCACATGCCCACCCCTCCTTCAGAGTGCAGGTACTGCACATGCCCACTCCTCCTTCAGAGTGCAGGTACTGCTCATGCCCACCCTTCCTTCAGAGTGCAGGTACTGCACATACCCACCCTTCCTTCAGAGTGCAGATACTGTATATGCCTACACCTCCTTCAGAGTGCAGGTACTGCACATACCACACCTTCCTTCAGAGTGCAGATACTGTATATGCCTACACCTCCTTCAGAGTGCAGGTACTGCACATACCCACCCTTCCTTCAGAGTGCAGATACTGTATATGCCTACACCTCCTTCAGAGTGCAGGTAATGCACATGCCCACCCTTCCTTCAGAGTGCAGATACTGTATATGCCTACACCTCATTCAGAGTGCAGGTACTGCACATGCCCACCCCTCCTTCAGAGTGTAGGTACCGCTCATGCCCACCCCTCCTTCAGAGTGTAGGTACCGCTCATGCCCACCCCTCCTTCAGACTGCAGGTACTGCTCATGCCCACCCCTCCTTCAGAGTGCAGGTACTGCACATGCCCACCCCTCCTTCAGACTGCAGGTACTGCTCATGCCCACCCCTCCTTCAGACTGCAGGTACTGCTCATGCCCACCCCTCCTTCAGAGTGCAGGTACTGCACATGCCCACCCCTAATTCAGACTGCAGGTACTGCTCATGCCCACCCCTCCTTCAGAGTGCAGGTACTGCTCATGCCCACCCCTCCTTCAGAGTGCAGGTACTGCTCATGCCCACCCCTCCTTCAGAGTGCAGGTACTGCACATGCCCACCCCTCCTTCAGAGTGCAGGTACTGCTCATGCCCACCCCTCCTTCAGAGTGCAGGTACTGCTCATGCCCACCCCTCCTTCAGAGTGCAGGTACTGCTCATGCCCACCCCTCCTTCAGAGTGCAGGTAATGCACATGCCCACCCCTCCTTCAGACTGCAGGTACTGCACATGCCCACCCCTCCTTCAGACTGCAGGTACTGCTCATGCCTACCCCTCCTTCAGAGTGCAGGTACTGCTCATGCCCACCCCTCCTTCAGAGTGCAGGTAATGCACATGCCCACCCCTCCTTCAGAGTGCAGGTACTGCACATGCCCACCCCTCCCTTCAGAGTGCAGGTACTGCACATGCCCACCCCTCCTTCAGAGTGCAGGTACTGCACATGCCCACCCCTCCTTCAGAGTGCAGGTACTGCACATGCCCACCCCTCCTTCAGAGTGCAGGTACTGCACATGCCCACCCCTCCTTCAGAGTGCAGGTACTGCACATGCCCACCCCTCCTTCAGAGTGCAGGTACTGCACATGCCCACCCCCTCCTTCAGACTGCAGGTACTGCACATGCCCACCCCTCCTTCAGACTGCAGGTACTGCACATGCCCACCCCTCCTTCAGACTGCAGGTACTGCACATGCCCACCCCTCCTTCAGAGTGCAGGTACTGCACATGCCCACCCCTCCTTCAGATGCAGGTACTGCACATGCCCACCCCTCCTTCAGACTGCAGGTAATGCACATGCCCACCCCTCCTTCAGAGTGCAGGTACTGCACATGCCCACCCCTCCTTCAGAGTGCAGGTACTGCACATGCCCACCCCTCCTTCAGAGTGCAGGTACTGCACATGCCCACCCTTCCTTCAGAGTGCAGGTACTGCACATGCCCACCCCTCCTTCAGACTGCAGGTACTGCACATGCCCACCCCTCCTTCAGAGTGCAGGTACTGCTCATGCCCACCCCTCCTTCAGAGTGCAGGTACTGCTCATGCCCACCCCTCCTTCAGAGTGCAGGTACTGCACATGCCCACCCCTCCTTCAGAGTGCAGGTACTGCTCATGCCCACCCCTCCTTCAGAGTGCAGACACTCTACATTCCACTTCCAGAAGTCAACCCGGCTAACCACTCTTCCTGCCTATATATAGCCGTCCTGCTCCACCTCTGTTAGTGTGACTTTGTCAATGGTCCAAGTCGGACCGAAACGTCGTCGTAAGCTTCTGTCTTTTATGTGCGGGTTATTTGTGTATAGTTATTTAACCACTTCTCCCTGAATCTCTTCTTACAAAGTTACTTTACTCAGATTCCACTAGCACAGCCATTAAAATCTAACTGTCTCTTTACTCCTATCTAATAAACTCACACAAGCAGCTGAATGCTCACACCACTAACACTTCCCTCCTATCTAATAAACTCACACAAGCAGCTGAATGCTCACACCACTAACACTTCCCTCCTATCTAATAAACTCACACAAGCAGCTGAATGCTCACACCACTAACACTTCCCTCCTATCCAATAAACTCACACAAGCAGCTGAATGCTCACACCACTAACACTTCACTCCTATCTAATAAACTCACACAAGCAGCTGAATGCTCACACCACTAACACTCAAAACCTCCATTTACCTCCACCTTCAACTGTTATTGGGATAACACCTAATCCCCTCTTTTTTCAACAGATTCATACAGTCTCCTCATCATTACATCTCTCTCCATCCTTTGCAAATACCCATGTCACCTCAACCATCTGAATTATACCCTCAGTGACCCCCGCACCGTTTTTTAATTTCCATCTTCCGAGCATTCAGTTTAATGTTTACAACACACATTGGTAGTAGGTTGGTAGACAGCAACTACCCAGGGAGGTACTACCGTCCTGCCCAGGGAGGTACTACCGTCCTGCCCAGGGAGGTACTACCGTCCTGCCCAGGGAGGTACTACCGTCCTGCCCAGGGAGGTACTACCGTCCTGCCCAGGGAGGTACTACCGTCCTGCCCAGGGAGGTACTAATGTCCTGCCCAGGGAGGAACTACCGTCCTGCCCAGGGAGGTACTACCGTCCTGCCCAGGGAGGTACTACCGTCCTGCCCAGGGAGGTACTACCGTCTTGCCCAGGGAGGTACTACCGTCCTGCCCAGGGAGGTACTACCGTCTTGCCCAGGGAGATACTACCGTCCTGCCCAGGGAGGTACTAATGTCCTGCCCAGGGAGGAACTACCGTCCTGCCCAGGGAGGTACTAACCGTCCTGCCCAGGGAGGTACTACCGTCCTGCCCAGGGAGGTACTACCGTCCTGCCCAGGGAGGTACTACCGTCCTGCCCAGGGAGGTACTACCGTCCTGCCCAGGGAGGTACTACCGTCCTGCCCAGGGAGGTACTACCGTCCTGCCCAGGGAGGTACTACCGTCCTGCCCAGGGAGGTACTACCGTCCTGCCCAGGAGGTACTACCGTCCTGCCCAGGGAGGTACTACCGTCCTGCCCAGGGAGGTACTACCGTCCTGCCCAGGGAGGTACTACCGTCCTGCCCAGGGAGGTACTACCGTCCTGCCCAGGGAGGTACTACCGTCCTGCCCAGGGAGGTACTACCGTCCTGCCCAGGGAGGTACTACCGTCTTGCCCAGGGAGGTACTACCGTCCTGCCCAGGGAGGTACTACCGTCCTGCCCAGGGAGGTACTACCGTCCTGCCCAGGGAGGTACTACCGTCCTGCCCAGGGAGGTACTACCGTCCTGCCCAGGGAGGTACTACCGTCCTGCCCAGGGAGGTACTACCGTCCTGCCCAGGGAGGTACTACCGTCCTGCCCAGGGAGGTACTACCGTCCTGCCCAGGGAGGTACTACCGTCCTGCCCAGGGAGGTACTACCGTCCTGCCCAGGGAGGTACTACCGTCCTGCCCAGGGAGGTACTACCGTCCTGCCCAGGGAGGTACTACCGTCCTGCCCAGGGAGGTACTACCGTCCTGCCCAGGGAGGTACTACCGTCCTGCCCAGGGAGGTACTACCGTCTTGCCCAGGGAGATACTACCGTCCTGCCCAGGGAGGTACTACCGTCCTGCCCAGGGAGGTACTACCGTCCTGCCCAGGGAGGTACTACCGTCCTGCCCAGGGAGGTACTACCGTCCTGCCCAGGGAGGTACTACCGTCCTGCCCAGGGAGGTACTACCGTCCTGCCCAGGGAGGTACTAATGTCCTGCCCAGGGAGGAACTACCGTCCTGCCCAGGGAGGTACTACCGTCCTGCCCAGGGAGGTACTACCGTCCTGCCCAGGGAGGTACTACCGTCTTGCCCAGGAGGTACTACCGTCCTGCCCAGGGAGGTACTACCGTCCTGCCCAGGGAGGTACTACCGTCCTGCCCAGGGAGGTACTACCGTCCTGCCCAGGGAGGTACTACCGTCCTGCCCAGGGAGGTACTACCGTCCTGCCCAGGGAGGTACTACCGTCCTGCCCA